AACCCCAGGCTCCGCACCCTCAGACTCAGCAACCCCAGGCTCAGCACCCCCAGGCTCCGCACGCTCAAGCTCAGCACCCCCAGGCTCCGCACACTCACGCCCAGCACCCCCAGGCCCCACACCCACAGGCTCAGCACCCCCAGACGCAACACCTCTAGCAGCACCAGAGTCGACAGCGACCTCGACAGGCTCGACAGGGTCTACCTGGGACACACCTGAGGGAGCAGGACCCTGATGGGGAAGGGGGTCTACCGGAGGAGGACCTGGTGCGAGGAAGAGCGGCGGGGGTGGGAGAGGGGCAGTGCGGTAGGGGAAGAGACGGTAAAAGGGAACCGACTCGTCAAACGTGACGTCCTGAGGGGGCAGGACACGGGGCGAGGTGGGGTGGTAAAACTGCCAGCCAGGCGCGTCAGGGACAAAGCCAAGGAATACACAGGGAACGGCGCGGGAGGAGAGCTTGTCCGCGGACGTATCGCGGACAAAGGCTTGACATCCCCAGACCCGGAACACGGACGCATCGCCAACCTCCCCCGTCCAACGCAGTGTGGGCGAGGTCTCCGGCAAGGAGACACGGGGCCAGAGGTTGAGCTGATGCGCAGCGTAGTGGACTGCAAACAGCCACAGAAAATGGGGGGCAGCCGCATGGATCATGGAGGTATGAGCGACCTCCATGACTAAGCCAATGCGGCGCTCACCAACCCCATTCTGCTACGGAGAGGCCGGAAGCGTGAACGTCTGGCGAATTCCCTCCGCACGACAGAAGGTCCGCAAGAGGTCGGAGGAAAACTTACCACCTCTGTCAGAGTGCAGACGCAGGACTGGAAGGTCCGTCTCGAACCGCTCGCGGAGCTGGAGACGAACAGCGCGGATCCAAGGGATCAGAACATCAGGGACCTCCCCCTTGCGGCGCAAGGGGAAGACCGTGGTGTAACGCGAGTAGTCGTCGACAACCAGCAGAAAGTGCCGCTCGTGGCCCTGTCCACGGACGCGGGCTGGGCCCCACACGTCCAGGTGGAGGGTCTGCAGGGGAGCCTCTCTTGGGGGAAACGAGGAGGAGTGAGGAGCGGCGCGCTGCCGCCCCTCGACACAGGGAAGGCAGGGAGGGGCAGGCGAGGGCGGGAGGGGAGGCAGAGACCTGGGAAGACCAGAGACAAGGAGACGGGAGTGCATGCCACGGAGGCGTGCCACAGAGGGGTGACCAAGACGGTGGTGCCAAAGGAGCGTCTGGTGCGACAGGGCGCGACACGAGCAGGGGGCAGCAAGCTGACCTGACGCAGACGCAGACGCAGCTACCTGAGGAGGCGCAGTAGTCAGTGTGTACAGACTCGACCCAGGCCGACGGGTGAACGTGGCCAGGTGGCGACCGGTCCGGGAGCACGTACAGATCGCCACACGCTGCCGTCCAGGGGTGAAGGTGTCAACCCCCGCATCCTGGAGGACAGCAGTGCTCACCAAGTTCGTAGAGAACGAGGGGAGGTGGAGACCTGCAGTGACCAAGACGGAACAGCCGGACAGGGCAGAACAGTGGAGAAACGTGCAAGAACTGGGCCCCCAGAGGGGTCAGCCAAAGAGACAGCAACAGGTGCAGAGAGCGGTGTGACTGTGGTACTGTCGCGAAAGAAACAGCGGGAAGCACCTGAGTCAGGCGTGAAGGTGTGCAGGGCCGCAGCAGACGTAGTACCAGAGAGAGCAGACTCACCAGTACCTAGGGCAGCAGACTCACTAGCACCTAGAGCAGCAGCCTCTATACCTGGGTCTGGCGGCATACATAGGAAACAGTCACCCTCAGCACTAACAGTGAATGCATACATGGCAGATAGGATAGCATCAAAGTCTAGAGCAAAGATATCAACATTCTGCTTAAGCAGCTCCGCCCAGTTGGGGAGCTCAGGTGCATCTGGAAACTCTGCGCGAAAGGCGTCGGTAAGGCGGTAGAAGCAGCGGTGCTGAGTGTGAGGCCTCCCGCATGTCTGACCAGTGCGGTCACCTATGCGAATGACATACGGGCAGGAACCACTACCCCCAGCCGCCCCACGCTGAGCAAACCACTCACGGAGCTCCTGAGACGAAAGGGGCTGACGCTGCTGCTGCCTCTGGCCACCTCCAAGGCTTCCCCTCTGGCTGGTACCACCCCTGCCGCCACCACTGCCTCCACCTCCACCCCCACTGCCGCCATCACCGCCGCCACCACCGCTGCCTCCACCACTCCCACTGCCGCCACCACCGCCGCCACCTGCCCCTCCGCCCCCACCACCACTACCTCCTCCGCCGCCGCCCCCTCCACCGCCTCCACCGCCCCCACCACCGCCTCCACCTCTGCCATCCCCACCGCTCCTGCCTCCCCTGCCCCTGCCGCTGCAGCGCCTCCCACTAGGGGCAGACGCAGCTCCCACCTCCTCAGTACGAAGGTAGTCAACAGCGGCAGCAGAGGCGACTGAGGGGAGAAGGGGGGAGGGCGAACACCCCTCAAAGAAGGGGGTGCGAGGAGTGCCACGAGAAGCGCCTACAGCGACTATGCTAGTCTCAGCTGCTAGGAGGTGCTTCTCGAGCAGGTCGACAGTGAGGTCGGTGGGGTCAAGTGCTAGGAGGAGGTCCCTGTTAGAGACTAAGGACGGAGTCTACGAAGATTAGGTGCCTAACTTTCTCAAAATCGTTGGCTTATAATTCTGGACAGAAACGTCGCACTCACAAGAAACGCCGTCGACAAAAAACGCACGGTTCAAACTTCACCAAGTTTGGATATGTTGTAGCTCTAGAGAGTAGCTACCATTCCCAAGTTGAATTGTATCAAGAGGTGAAGTATATCTTGACTTATCAATTTCGGCGCACAGGGGGTTATGCTGCCATAGAATCTTAACTCAATCACAAGAGTCTCACAAGATTACACAAGAAAGTTGGAGTAGCTAGAAACCACGTAGAAGAGGATGAAGAGGACGAGAGGGAAGGTCCCAAGAGATTCCCCAACCAAGGAAACCCCATGCCACACAATTCCCCTCTCTATGGGTACCCCAACTTTGACATTTGTCACTTTCCCAACCTCCACAATCTACCTCACCCAAGTTGGCCACACTTGCCAACCCAATTTGGTTTCTCCCAACCACTAGGCAGCATCTACAGTGATGGGACGAATTTCCCAAACCCCAAAAGTCTGTACCCCATATTGAGTCACTTCACAACTTCCCAAAGTCGTCGCATCCCAATCAAAACTTCGAACGATTATAACTTCGTCGTTCTTGATCCGATCGCAACGATTCTTGGTTCGTCGGAAAGCTCTTGAGCAGAGGAGTCACTTCAGATATCTGCCCAAGCCAAATGATATTCACACGCACTCAGAAAATTCCAGACCACACCAAACACAACGCACGCTCACACCACGCATGCAATGCACAAACATTTGATGGGAGGCAGACAGACGTGAATGCAAATGATAGCATCACATAACAGTCCCTGACTGCAGTAAGAGAGTCTGGGAGGCGGGTGACTATGAAGTAGAGCGTGATGTACATGAGGGGGGGGGGGGTTCTTGGCGAGAAACTCGGCGGGGAGCGCAGCACGGTAGCGAGTGTCACTAGTGCGGAGGTGAGTGACTAGGCCGGCTACTGTGGCAAAGGCGGACAGGTCCGGAAACAGGTAGGGCAGGAGAAGGCGGCCTAGAACAGCAGTGGCCGCGGAGGAGTAACGAGCGACTACAGCGTCGTACAGTGCTTTAGCTGTCTTATGCTGGCCAAAGTGGGCGCGTTCGGCTAACGGCAGGTGGTTGCGAACGGCTAGGCGAGCAGCAGCGTCTCGGGTAAGCCACTGTGAGCGGGTCGCACTGTCAGCTGTGGCGTCAGGGGCGGGTGAGGCGCCAGAAGTGAGGTCAAACAGCGAGGTACCGTCCTTAGAGTCTGTCAGCAGGAACAGCTGTATGTCGTCTAGCCACGCATTGAACTCTATCGGGCGGCCCTCCAAATCAAAGGTGAGAACGCTGAGAGTGGCCATAGCGAGCGGAGCAGTCGAGCGCGCTAGCAGCACGCAGGCAGCAGAGAGCGGCGCGTGGTGCGTACGGCAGGGCAGGGCGCGCGGCAGGGCAGGGCGCGCACGGCAAGGCAAGGCGCGCATGGCAGGGTAGGGCAGAGGCACGCGGCGGCGCGGCGCGCGGGCAGGGCAGAGGCGCGCGGCGGCGCGGCGCGGGCAGGGCAGAGGCGCGCGGCGGTGCTGCGCGCGCGCAGGGCAGAGGCGCGCGGCGCGGCGTGCGGGCAGGGCAGGGCACGCGGCGGCGCGGCGTGCGGGCAGGGCAGAGCGCGCGGCGGCGCGGCACGCGAGCAGGTCAGAGGCACGCGGTGGCGCGGCGCGCGGGCAGGGCAGAGGTGCGCGGCGGCGTGGCGCGTGGGCAGGGCAGAGGCGCGCGGCGACGCGGCACGCAGGCAGGGCAGAGGCGCGCGGCGCGGCGCGCAGGCAGGGCAGGCGCGGCGACGCGACGCGCGGGCAGGGCAGGGCGCGCTGCAGCAGGCGGCGCGCAACTCAGCAGGGCGCGCTGCAGCAGGCGGCGCGCGGGCAAAGCAGGGCAGGGCAGGGCAGGGCAGGGCAATGCGATCACAGTGGCGCGACGGGTGGGGTAGCGCTACTCGGTGGGCCCTAAGAAATCGGTCCTAGGCTAGGACCTGCTCTGAAACCATGTCAGAATAACGAACAGGAATGAATCAACTAGCAGCAGGATGGGTACAAGTAGCAAACCCTAATTTGGGTTGTACCCCATATGGGCTACCCCACTACATCCTACACAATAAGCAGCATATATGTTTGACAGAGGGTGTGTGCAGGAGTCGGCTATGCAGTTATTCTGCACAACATGATCATGACAAGGGAGGAGTGCCGACCGGTTCAGAACCGTCAGCGGAACCGATGGTGGGACCGGCACGGTATGCGTAGCTACCGCTGGCTTCCCACGCCCGCCGTGACCAGAGCCATTGCAGAGGAGCGACGCAAGCTATTCGGCGTCCGCATCCACGCGACATGGCTTAGGCGCCATGAGGGCGAGGTCCCTCCGCCGCAGGAGCAGTGAAGAACCACTGCCCGTTGCTATCCATGGCGATCGGCACGGGGATATGCTGCAGGAAGGACGGGTCCGCGTACAGCTGCCTCGCGGTGCCCGTATCGCCAACATTCTGGGTTGCGAAGGGAGCCATCGCAGGCGGAGAGGGCACATGAGTGGGAGGTGCGGGGCGAGGGGGAAACCAGGAAGCGGGTGTAGTAAATCCAGATGCAGCGCAGGTTCCGGGTGAAGGAGTGCCGCTGCGATTGCCGGCGGCATTCGGTGCCTGTGTTGGCGGAACGGTGTTGTGCGGAGGCATTGGCGCCATGCGCTCCAGGACTGCAATTTGCCTGTCCCACGGAGCATCCTGCCTGTTACCGCGCTCTGCCATACTCCGCGCCATAGTCTCCGCAACGAGCATATGCCCGGCATATGCGGCGGACTCCGTGGCGCGACGACGCACCGGGATTGAAGGCATTGGCGCGTTTGCATCTGGATGTTAGGACAGGGTAGGGAAAGTAGGGTAAGCGTGAGTACTTGTTTGTCATGTCATTATGTAATAGACTTATTTAAAAATAGCGTCAAATCGGCTTTGGTTTTAATGTCACATCTTGTCAACATTATCCTTACCGTCAGCAACTTGTGCCGGCGCACCGGGCTGTGTTGGAGTGGCGTTCACATTACGAGCCTCACCTTCATCCACAACGTGCGGGTTTGGCGCCATGTTTGCATTCCACCAGTTGTCGACGTACTGGAACCATTCCGGACGAGGCTGCGGCTCAATTCTGGTCGTGTTTTCCTCCGCAAAGATCTCGTCCATACGCTGCTTCAGACGAGGCCACTGCTTCGACATTGCCTTGGAGGGACGCCTCCAAGTAGGGTTGGCGATACGCATTACACGCCTCAGCTTCTTCCAGAACTGAGCGCCCTGCTTCCCTTTCATGGAATCGAAGTCGTCCTTGGCCATCCACATGGCAGCCGCCAACTCGGTCAACTCCTCTGGCGTCCAATGCGACTTCTTGGGAGGTAAGCCAGTGACTTTACGCTTGCCTCTGACATCGTTTTCTAGCGGTGAGTCCTCATCCACTTCATCAACGACGTCCGCGGCAGTGTATCCGTCGGAGTTGCAATAAGACTCATCTTCGAAAATGAGCTCGTCAAAACCGTCCGCTGCGGCATCGACGTCGCCAGTCGAATCTTCAGGTGCGAGACTGGATGACGGGCCGGGCGCCAGAGGGTCAGAACGGCGACGATCTGTGACGCCGACAAGGCGAATCCTGTTGATGCCAAGCGCATTTTGCTGTTTCATTCACACTATGAAAGGCGGATCAACTCGAGGCACTTCCGAACCCTGCTCTGGCGTAGAGGTGGTAGCACGAGCACGCTTCTTCTTAGGAGCCATGATAGATACTAGAGGTGGGTAACAATACACAACGATGACAGTGAGGTGGCTGTGACAGCAGTTATGTATTGGTAAACGATGGGGAAGCATGGGATGGCAAGAAAGGCTTGCTGCAGAGTCGATAAGGTTGGATTGAAACGTGAACGAGTTCAGCCTGCGGTTAAACCGAGGCGCATCGTGTACTTCCGGAAATTGTGTACAAGCAGGAAACTCTTGGGCAGGCGCGGCCCTCAGGGATGGCCGTTTGTGTTCAGCAGCACAATTGTCGTCAAACCTGGCGTATGCGAGCTATGTCGTGAACTTCATAGGGTGCGAAGTCGCTTCGGTTGGATACCTGACATGCAAAGACTGCGACCCCAGTCGCCCGCCAGAAAGAGGTTTGGTGGTCAGAGTGGGAGCATTCCCACCAAATTGCCCATCAGCTTCGGAAAAACGGTCTGGTGGGCAAACTTTGATGGTGGGCGTGATCTAAGAGTCAGTAACGAGAGAGGAAAGGCAATCGGAGACAGTGGGGTGAGTGGCACGAAGTAAGTCAGAGAATGGAGGACGGGAAATAGAAAGGGACGGCGGAGGAGGTAATGGGGGAACAGGAGGAGGGGAAACACAAGGGGGACGAGAACAGAGTGTCGTAGAGTGAATACCAGGAATTGGAGATGCTAAACAAGAATAAGAGGGACAACGGACCCAAGTTTGAGAGTTAGGAGTTAGGTCAGGAGACAGAGTTGTAGAAAACAGAGAATGAGAAGGAGAACGAGGCGGTGAGGAGACATGTGAACAGTTAGTTGAGGGGTATGTTGCCAAGGGGTATGTTTGAGAGCTTACGACGAACTCATTTTTCAACTAAACGAAAATCCTTTTCGTAGGATTGCGCGCCATAAGCTTAGCTACCATCTTCAATTTGAATTACTTAAAAATCTGGTATGTAGATTAAGAACGAATTGAAAACATCTAACAACTGCATGACTAGAATTAGTGGTGGAAGTACAAGCATTAAGGCATAAGAGGTTCCATGAGAGGGAAAGGGTTCTCCAAGAGCTAGGGAAGGATGGCAAGAACCTTCCTAACAGCAATGATGCAACCCAATCATGAGGTTCTTGAGGTGTCACGTGTGAAATCTAATCTAGTTGAATCTTGCCTAGATGTTGCAACATTTGCAACCCATACTAAAAACTTCTAGCCACCCCAATCCAAAAGTCAAAGTTGTCTTCCTAGCCACCCAACCAAGAAGCTCTTTATAGTCATGTCCCAATAATTTCCCAAATTAGATAATACTTCAAAATGAAATAGAATTCTCAAATCTTGGAAATCTTGTATTTTGGGCCTGCCGTGGTGACTGTGAAGACGAGGACGGTAACAAGGGGGACTGCGGGGTGACGTGCAAGAGACCAGACGGGGCCAGACACGAGGGGACATTGGTTATCTGAAGGGCAGGTCCAGGAGGGGGAGCGGCAGTGAGGAACTCAAAAGGAGGGGGGAGAGTGCTACCTCAGTAGGGGAAGCGGACGTAGAACGAGATCGACTTGTCAAAAGTGACATCACGAGTGGCAAAATAGTGGCTTGGGGAAGGGTGCCAGAACAGCCAATCTTCATCGACTAGAGGGAAATAAAGGAAGACACACTGGACAATGTGAGACACAAGCTCGCTTGCGTGACGATCGCAAACGTGAGCAAGACAGCCCTAGACACGGAACCCAGACGTTGGCGCAGGGGAACCAGTCCAGAGGAGTGTCGGCAAAACCTGCGGCCGTGAGGAGAGAGACCACAAGTTAAGCTGGTGGATAGTGTAGAGGACTGCAAACGGCCATAGAAAGGATGGGGCACTCACATGACACATGGAAGTACGGGCGATCTCCATGATCAGGCCAATGCGATGCTCAACGAACCCATTCTGCTGCGGTGAGCCCAGTTGCGAGTGCGACTGGACTGCTCCACTCGACCAAAGGTGAACTCGCCACACTAATCAGAGTGCTAGCCAAGCACGGTACAGCCTTGCTGGGTGCAGACGGCTACGATCCATGGGAGAAGCATGTCAGGCACGTCGACCTTCCGTTGCAGAGGGAACACCGTGGTGTAGAGAGAAAACTTATCCACAAAAACCAGAAAGTAGCACTCCCGCGAGGCGGCCCTCGACGCAGGGAGTGCAAAGAGGCGCAGACGAGGGAGGAAGTATGGCACCGAATGATATACACCGAACCAGGGAGTGCAAGGAGGCGCAGACCAGGTCGTACAGCCAATGCTTATTCGGTTGCCACCAAATCGACCTCTACCGAATTCAGGAATGTTCTATTCGGGACGCTTCGCCACCCTCCATTCGCGTAACGCCTGGGGTACTGGCCTTGTGTCGAGGCTATATATAGCCTCATGTTGTACCCAGGTGAATCATTCAATAAATTACTATTTTCTCATCTTGATCCTATCGATCCTCAAACTTGGTCATCAAAGCCAATTTACATGCGAAGTCTTTCGACCTCTAAAAACCAGTCTTTTAAATTCCGTGGGGGGCGACGAACGATAAACACCGATTTCGAGTACGTAAAACCGATTCCATGTTTCTTTTTTTTTTTATTCCCCCTCGATTCGGTTTCGGATGCGATGTCAGCGAGGAAAGGAAGGTCAAGACGACAATTTCGTGCAAAAAATCACAAGTCTTTGCACCGACCTGTAGTAGACACGGACGACGCGTCCGCGAATAAAGCGCTCCTCGCGAACCAGTCAGCAGCCCCCACAGCAGCAGCGAACGCAGCAGTGAATGCAGCAGCGACGGCAGCAGCAGCAGCAGCAGCGGCGGCACCGACATTTCACGCAGCAGTGGCATCAGCTTCGCCGAACCTCGAAGCAGCTCGTCTCCCGGAAGCGTTTGATCCAAGTGTGAAAGGGATCGGACGTTCGACGATTCGTGGCTACACTCGAAATTCATTTCAAGGCCATTAGCTGTACGACCCCAACGCATGATGCAGCAAGGATTCTGCTCACAGCGACACTGTTGTGAGGCCCGACGCTCGAGTGGATCGACTACAACAACGTGGTCCGAGGAGAGGGAACATGGACGCAGTTTCGGGCATACTTAATTGCACGATTTGAACCTATTCATTCGAGTTACATGGCGCGGCAGCAGATTCATCGGCACAAGCAGTACGGAAGTGTAGCCCAGTATACGCAGCAAAGGGAAAATATTTTTAACCGAATTACGGACCTGACCGAAGGCGAAAAAAATCAAGAGTATACAGAGGGGCTGAAAATGGAGATACGACAACAAGTAATCGCCGCGAACTACAGTAGATACCGCGTCATGGTCTGTACAGCAGATCGATACGATGCGTTGAAGTGTTGGTCAACCCGAAATGCGACGCCATGTGCCGAATAGGTCTTTCAGCACGGAGCGATTGGCAACCCCCACGTTCGCCAAATTGATTGACATTGACAAAATAGATGCGAAGCCGCGGCCAGCAAAATCCGAGAAGTGCGAATTTTGCGGTGCAGCCGGACACCAGATCGTGTTGTGTTGGAAAATGAAGCGAGCACGAGCAAAAATGATGGGCAACAAAAGTGCGGCACCCCCGAAGTAAAGAAAAAAACGGGAATCACCAGATCCAGAAAAGGAAAAAAAGGCAACGACGTGGAGACTTCGGTGCGGGCGAAAAAAAGGAGAAAATGATGGTGCGAATTTAAAACGTCACGACTGGCCAGCACCAGGGGAAATCGCCGAAAGAAAGGAGGCGTCGCGAAAGAAAAAGCCTTTGAAGGGAAGAATCAGAGGCTAAGAAAAAGGCTTTAGAAATAATTCTGGTACCTGGGAAGTTGGGCAAAGTAGTCCGAAGCGTTGAAAAGGGTCGTGTGTGCCGAGGAGTTAATATTCTCTCCCCGCAGCACCGTGTTAAGGCCCGCGATTGCCCACAGGTGAAGCCTACACAGCTGCAAAGGCTTGTCAGAATGAGTGAAGTGATTGCATTAGGAAAGTTGGGAGTACAAGTATGAAACCCTAGAGATTGTACCCCCTAAGGCTAAACCCACTACAGCCTAGAGAACACAAACATATGTAATGTTTGACACACCCCCATAGGCAAAGTGGGAGACAACCAGATGGTCACAAGACCAGTCAAAGCAAAGCAAAGCAAAGCAAGCTCAGGGTGGATCTCAAGGAAACCACACAAATTCCGAGCACAAGCAAGCGGTCACAAGACCAGTTCACATGCAGTTTGATAATATAACAAGAGGTACAGTGATCACAACCTAGCAAATGTAAGCATGCAGGTATATATATAGAGATCACAGTACAAGCAGAGTCAAGAAGTGAGCAAGTGAGGGACAGTAGGCACAAGGCCTAGAACAGTACAGAAACGCTGATGATCACAAGGCGGAAGTGCCTTGGTGAACACATCAGCAGTGTTGGCCCGAGTGGCCACGTACGCAAGACGAAGCTGACCACGCTGCTGCAGCTCTCGAGCAAGGAAGTAGCGCAGAGCGATGTGCTTCGTTCTGTGCTCCAGTCTGTGCTCCTGACACAAGGCAAGGGCGGCCTTGTTGTCGACGTACAGCACTGGAGGAGAACGAGGCCGCTCTCCCAGGTCGGTCAGCAGGTAGGTGAGCCAGCGTAACTCCTGTGCAGCCATGGCTGTGGCGTAGATCTCAGCCTCATAACTGGAGCTGAGAACTGAAGACGAGCGAGTAGAACGCCAAAAAACTGAACCACAGCCAAGACTGAAGGTGTAACCCTGAGACAACCGCTGAGTAGCCTGGTCGTCAGCCCAAGAAGCGTCTGAGTGCCCAGTGAGGACAACGTCTCTCCGTCCTCCAAGCACAAGCCCCATGCCCGACGTACTGCACAAGTAGCGCAACACCCTCTTAGCGGCATCCATGTGCTCCTTCCGGTGACGGCCAGGAGCGACATAGCGTGCTAGGATGCTAAG